CTGTTAGTTTTCGCGTGCAGATCTTCGAGTTTGTGTGACGTCAGACACAAGTCATCGTCGAAATCCAAATCTTCCAGGTTCTTTTCCCCAGTCCACTATAATCAGGAAGATGATCGGTGATAGTAGACAGCCTTGTCTTACTCCTATCTTCACTTCAAAGGCATCACTGAGCTTCCCATTGTGAATTACTTGGCATGTGGCGTCTTCATATAGTTGTTGAATGAAGTTAATGAAGGTTTGCCGTATTCCGTAGTGAAGCGTTTGCATTACTTCTCGATCGGCGCTGTGGAAGGCTTTTTCAAATTTGATGAAGCTGGGGTGGAGGTTTGACTGCCATTCTATACTCTGTCCTATGATGATGCTAGTGTGGCGTTGCAGTTTATTGAGCACATGATTTGTACTTCCTGAATCCAGCCAGTCTGTTCGGGTCGTAGTCTTGAATCCAGCGCATCCTATAGTCTCTCCAGGATGAAATTTGTTTATATATAAGCTAAATTTGGGCGATTACACCGCTAATTAACTCAACCCCAAATAAGGAGAACCAGTAGTTCGATGTCTAGACCACTCTGATCTGGCTGGCAAAATATACACACTATTCTGAGTGGTTTCTGACTAATTAGGTTGTTCAGTAGTATTACCCTCAATTAAATCGTATATATATATATATATATATATATATATATATATATATATGTATATATATATATATATATATGTATATATATATGTATATATATATTAAAGAATACTGCTCGTTTTAGTTTCTTTTACTCAGGGGAAAAAGAACAATTTTATTTTCATTCCTTATGCAAATAGCAAAAGAATGCCTCGTTTTTCTTCCCTTTTTTTTCTTATTTTTTCCCTTTTCTTATCGATTCAGGATTTGCTTGTTATTACTATTGTTGTTGTTGTTGTTATTGTTGTTGCTACTACTAATTCTGCTACTACTGTTGTTAAATTACTTATGTTCTGATTACTGACCACCGTTTATTGATTAACTGCTTCTTAGGAAAATGTAAAACTACTCTTCTTTCTATATGAACTGTTCAAAATGATCTTCATTTTATTTTCTTCGTTTAAATTTTCTTCCTGTTTGTTTCATCTGATTTTATCATTAGTAATCTGTATTTGTTTATGCAAATAATGGTGTTACGGTGTTCTGTGAGCTTTGAATTGAATATTACATGAATGTTAAGATGGTCTTTTTATTTACCTTGATTATTGTCCAGTTGTCAGTTGTGGAAGAAATCTCTTTGTTATTACACCTTGACCTCTTTGACTTTAGATTTCCTCCAGTTATGTCATTAGACATTCTTTACTGAAGTGAAATTGTGCTTACGTAAATGTTTACAACGGAATATCTTTTCAAGAAGAGTAAGATATACATCATTAATCAACTGTCCTACTAGATGGAAGATTTCACAACAGTGTGGCAGAAAAATGGTGCGACTGATAAAATCTGATGCATACAACAGATTAACCAAAGTAATTACAACCAAACAACAAATATTGGGATTAATCATCGAAACGGATATGATGAACAAATTAATAGCAACCATCAATACAACATCTAAAACAAAAGGCGAGAAGAGGAGGCAGAAGTCAATGATGAAATATTCAGGCTATCACAATCAACAGAGAAGGAATTAAAAGATGAATGGGTAATGAATCTTTCAGAGTATTTACTTTCTACCAAAGAATAAGACTTACTTTGAGAAGGGACTGAACGATATCACTGGAAATGCCAACCGATTTGATTTCTTTGCTTCTTTGGGATGTACGTTGAAAACTCAGGACTAAATGTTGAGCAACAATAGGAAGTATGTCAATCAATTGTGACCCTGATGAAAATCAAAGGAAACCAACACCTATTAAACACAAAGGAAAAAATACACTGAAATCACTAATGACTAACAAGTCAATTATAAATATTACTTTTGGAGAAAGAAATGCGAACCGTCTTTATGAACAAAATGATTTATAACAGAAAGGCACAGAAATTACTAAACGATGAAAATGTGTATCAACCAGTAGACCACAATCCACTTAAAGAGTTCGACAACCAGATCCAAAAGAAGGTGAGGAGTTCACTAAAAACTAGCCAAATTACAAAAGAAGAACAATGGCAGATGAAGACAAATGGATCAGTCTTACCTAGGCTCTATGGTCAATCTAAGATACATAAGATAGATATTCTACTACGACTACTACTTTCACTACCTAGAACACCTTTATTCAATTTATCGAAAGAGTTATACAAAAAAACATCTCGTCAATGGAAGTGAACTCTTAGTCAACTCAGCAGGGATAAGCAGTGATGACAGGATGATATATTCTGATGTAACTTCACTCTTCACTTCAATCGACTCAAATTTAGCCATGAAGTATTCTTCTGAGGAATGACCAAACCATTTCTGACTATACAAAGATCACCAAAGAGGATCTACATTTTCAGCCACATTGTCGTGCAATCTTCCATCTAGTAGGACAGTTGATTGATAATCTGTATCGTACACTTCTTGGAAAGATATTCCGCTGTAAACATTTGCGTAAGCCAAATTTCGCCTCAACAAAGAATATATAATGATATTATTGAAAGAAATTCAAGTCGAGGAGGTCAAGGTGTAATAACAAAGAGATTTCTTCCCCAACTAACAACTGAAAAACATCTAAGGTCAATAAAGGAATACTATCTAAACAAACTCGAAGATCTGTAGGCGAAAACCAACAAGTCGATAGAAGAGGCAGTGAAGATTGGACTTCAAGTTGACGTAGATAAGACAGAGGTGATGGTGATAACCAACCAACAACAACAAACATCAACCAACACAAACCGAGAAATCTGTAGGAAGTTGTCTCTCTCACACACCAACTAGACAGCATACTCTCAACTACACGTGGCGGCACAGGTATGGATGAGGATGTCAAGGCCAACCAGGATTGGAAAGATAGCAAGACAGGTCATCCTCGATCAACCTGAAATCAGTATGGAGACCTACTGTACTGTACTGCACTGCAATTCACTCAGCATAAAGCGTGAACAACATCCAGATTTTCAACACCACTAATATCTGTCAAGTCAGTGCTTCTATGTGGTGGTTGAGAGACTTGGTGTGCTACGAGAAGCATTTCCAACAAACTGGAGACATACATGAACAGATGCTGCCTACACTCATTTGGTGGTGAATATGGAGATTAGATGGATGGCAGAGAGAATGAGTGACAGGGAACTGTTGCTGTCTGGCAAGGAACCAACGGAGCAAGAAGGGCTAGCTCAACAAGTGTGCAGAAGAAGAGACGGACGAAGAAGAAGAAGAAGAAGAAGTGGAGATGGATTGGTTTGGACATATACTGTGAAGTTGATTTTGTGACATCGCGTGCCAGGTCGTGCCAGACCAGGCTCCAGAGTGGAACGCAAGTAGTTGTGAGCCGACGAGTTAAGCATGTGATTGTGACATGTAGGTGATGGTGTGAGGAAGGAATGACAGGTTGTTGGCATTGGTGGAGCCAGGTTGAGAAGGCTGGAGAGAAGAGAGTGAATGTTGTTGTGCTACTGAAGCCGTATGTTCCATTAGGAACCCAATGGGGAAATAATAATATCTAAACATTTGTGTAATATTCGATTATGTTTCAATTCTTTGTGAAGTTAATGCTAACAATGTAACTGAACCTGGTAATGAAACGTTCAAGACGAATTACTGATGCTCAGAGAACACAAAACCAGCATTACCTTCATCCCGAGGCATAAATCTTTCCCATCATTTAAACGTGTCATCTATTCGATTTCGCGTGGCAAATGCTTAAGCGTTTTGCCTGTCAGCAGCCATTTAAATGGGTACATATCCAGCTTAGACATGGACCATGAATCGCCAATCCTTTCTTTATCAACCAGTGCTAAAACCAGAGACTTTATCAGCAAATTATTCTGTTCAAGACCAACTTCATGTAGGATCATAGTGTGTAGGGAAATGGCTCATTGGATGGCAACTGATATAAATGTTACATCTTAAGTGCTGATCGAAAAACTGTCAGTCAGACTACAGTGGTTAACTGAAGTTTACTGTCAGATCTGTTAACCCTTGTTAAACAAGATGTTCTTCTTTTGCATACCTTGTATCCTTAAACTACTTTAGATTTCGTTAGTAAGCTTTTGTAGCGTAAGCTTGACTGTCCTATCTAGGAGTCATTTTGGAGAGATATCAAATATATATTTCAGTGTTTGTATTGTAATCTTATCTATTTTTAATCTCTTAACCTTTAAAATTTACTTTCCATACTTAGTACTTATCTGTTGCTTACATTTGCTAGTCGGTTTCCTAGTCATTCCGTTGCCCCGAAGAGTCAGGATTTCAAGTTAGTATTCATCGTGTAATGACATCAATTAGAGGGATATTATAAACCTGGGAGCACTGGACAGCTTTTTCGTCCAGCTAGTATATGATTCATCATTAGTGTACACCCAAGATTCCATCTCACCAGTGATCGAACCTAGAAACTTCAGGTTACCATCGGGTCACTTGATGAAAATTTAGTCGTTAAATTTCCAGCTTCTATGAGTTCACGAAATAGCTCAACTATCACCCAATGTTATCGTTGAGTATTTGTGCCTACATTCACTAGGTTTGTCCCAGCTGTCATGACTTCTCATTGTAAGAACAGGAATCACCTGTCGAAGCTAGTTACCACTGAGCACCGGACAAATTGAATTTGGGGGTTAGTGGGGATTTAGTGGTTTTTCACGTTTGGTATTCATCATGGACTGACATTAATTGGATGAACATTGGAAATTTAGCAGCAATGGACAGCTGTTCTGTCCAACCAGTATATGACTCCTCAGCAGTACGTATCCATGACCTTGGCAGGAATCGAACCGGAAATTACTTCAAAAGTTTTTTTCAGTAGACATTTATACTTGAATAAACTGCAAATTTCAGTAGCTTCATAGTTATGATTTAGTTTTCTTTTACTATTTTTTTAAATTTTTTTTCTTTCTTTTCCAGTTGATTGTAAATTTTCGAAAAAAATTACCAAACACTCCAACAGTATCGTCTGATACTGAATTACACCATTCTATCTACTGTCAACAGACAGATGTACAAGAAGGCTTGAACAGTAAAAATGATCATTCAACATCTGATACAAATCAACTAAATAAATTAGTACAATCTCATTTTCTATCTAACGATAATAATCTTACTGATAGTTGTGTAAAGAATACTTTATCTTGTCAAACACTATCTGCTTCTTTGAATTCAAGTTCAGCATTGACATCATCATCATCATCATCATCTTTGCCGTCATACTTTCAAACAGTAACTAGTACACTTGGTAAGATTATATGCGATACAGGTGTAACATATATTCAATCACATCCAATTCTTATATCATCTTCACAACAATTACATCAAAAATCATCTAATGAATTAATATCAACAGAATCAAGAGAGTTACAACAACCACCACCTCCTCCACAACGTTATTCAAATCATCGACATATTTCACCATCTTCTTTATCAGAAAATATATGTATAAATAATATCTGTGATTGTTCATTAATTAAACAAGGTGTTATTCATAATAAACATATTACAGGGACCAATGAAGTAGAAAGTGGCATAAATAAAATGAATCAGTATCCAACTAAACTACTAACAGATTATTCTCAGTATAATAAACATCCTGTTACAACATTTATTGGTGAGTTGATTCAATAGTTTTTTTTAAAGCCCTTCTTTAATTTAGTGTTATTGCTTGTATTACACCGTCGTTGATTGGATCGAATTGACCAACCTCTGTTGACATATGCGGAAGCCTCGATATTACCTGTGTTTTAATTATACATTGTAATGATGAGCAGTGGGTAGCAGTGGAATCCAGGATGCTCATTTCGTCCTATTTGAGACTCATCAGCTAGATATACCTGCCTCTCAGTGCTGAGTGATGTTGTTCCCACCGGGATTCGGACTCGGGACCGATCGCTTCAAATGCGAGAGCGTTATTCACTAAACCCATGGCACAAGAAGTGGCTATCGTGGCTCAGTGGTGTAGTGGACAACGTTCTCGTGTTTGACGCGATCGCTCCCGAGTCCAAGTCCAAGTGGGAACAACATCACTTGGCACTGGGAGGCAGGTACACCCAGCTGACCCGTGAATCCCAAATAGAACGAAATGCGCATCCTAGATTCCACTGCTATCCACTACCTATCATTACTATACTCCTTGTTAAGTGTTCAAAGCAATAATAATAGCGGGTAATTTCTAATACATAAATTCTAAATTAAACGTTTCAAACAAATAAAGTCGTCTTGTCAGAACCATATGTATATGTATGTATGTATCGATATGCAACAAGATTCTATATTTACTGAAAACGTCAAAATCTATTTATTGTTGACCTCCTGTTTCAAAATTATCTAGGCTATAATGACATGATATATATATATATATATATGCTTACTGTAGTTGACTGATTGACCTGAAAAATCAATCAGCTTTCTTTTACGGTAAGCTCTTTTCAACATTATTTATTGGAATATGGAAAAGTATGGTATATGTAATATTCTAAATAATCTAGCAATAATAATCATATAATAATTGTAAAGTCTGATAAAAGCAATTCAACAGTAGTTATGAACACATTGGATTATTACAACAAAATTAACTAACCTACCGAAATAGGACCATATGAAGAGATCAGAAAACTTTAAAAATGTTTATGAAGAAAATTAAGAAATTTTCAGATGATATGATACTCTGACTGAAGCCATCTCTAGCTAAGTCTGGATAGTTTAATTTAATGCCTAATACTAATAGTACTGGCGGTATATAAGCCACCATTAGATTCATAAACCAGATTATCCTATCAGACCCATAATTCACTTCAGAAATACACCAACATCAATATTGTATCCTATTAGGAACAGTTCAAATTCTTGACGAGTAAACTCTTACGAGTTAAAACTAAGGCTTAATGACCTACACACAGAAGATGAAATAATAGTTAGCTTCGATGTAACAAATCTTTACGCTGAAATACTAATCATTACGGCATTGGAGGTAGTCAAAAATCAACTAAATACTCACTCAGAACATACTCACACAACTAAAATATCGGTTGATGACATCATAATAGGCATACAGTTGTGCTTGATCTCCACAGTCTTCAAGTTTCAGGACAAAATATACAGACAAACAGGAGTAGTAATGTTATCACCAATATCCCCAATCGTTGCAGATATATTTGTAGATAATTGAGAAGACATGGTGTTACAAATGTTTAATCCTGCACCAGAAATATTATGTCAATATTTGGATGACACATTTACTACTGTGTTGAAATCGAGACATATTGACAGTTCCCTCAATACATATAAACTCAGTAGTGGAAGCAATTCATTTCACTTACATGAAGGGAAATGAAGGAGAAGGATTACCAATGTTGAATTGCAGGATGAAACGGAGGACAGATGGTGATTTCGATATTACCGTCTACAGAAAACCGATACACTGTAACAGGTCATCTTATCTAATATCAGTCAGTTGAGGCAAGTTTCGTCAAATGTGTAAATGATATAGCTAGAAAAGTGACTAGTCAGTGTAAGGACCTAAACAGGGGATCGAAACCCTTAAAAGAAACACTAATGATTAGTATTAATCCTCTACAGTTTCTTAAGAAATTCATTCGAACACACAATAAAAGAAAAAATAACGGTAACACAAGTAGACAGGAGTTCACACCCTCCATTGTGTTACCCTATAAGAGTGTACATCAGAAACTTTACATAGGGTTCTAAAAAAGGCTGGAATTAGTTGGGGGTGGCAGTTAAACCTACAAACTCACTCAGAGATACGTTTTGTTGGCCTGTTTAAGCATCCGAATGAATCGATTCAGCAAAATAATCTAATCTATCAAATTCCATGTAGTGACTACGAGATCAAGTACATGATTGGAAGTAGCCGATTGGGGTCAGTTAGAATACAGATCTAAATAAGATCAGTAATCTAAAGAAGTATTCAACTGTTGCAATGCATCCATTAACAACACACAACCATACACAATAGAATGGGATAGAACCACTGTCCTGAATTTCAATATAATTAGGTGGTGAGACAGGGGGATTGATTATTGATACTTTGTTCATCGAATCAGTCAACAACCAGTCAACACATGTTATAGGATTGATGCAACACCTATACCAGAGATATGGAGAACTTCACTACCAATAAAAGCAAAGAATATGACGTGGGTGATTGGATTATAAAAATCAGATGTTGAAAGTAATGTGATAACACCTGGTATGATTATGAGTAATGATAATTTATGCTCAGAATGTCATCATCAAGTAAATAATACTATATCACTGTACGTTATAAATCAAGCAAACAAATCTGTTATGAAATAATTCTTAGGGTTTTGGATATCCCGTAAATAGAGAAAGATGAAAAGAAAATTACTGTAAATTATCATTATCTTCAACTGAGGTTACTATACTCAGAAGGGTACTTTAGATAGAACTGGACCAAAGTACCAAAGTACTGAGCCAATCATTTTAAGTACAACTTAATCAACTCCAAACAATACACATTTTTAAGTGATTATGTTTCGTACTGACTGTTATTTGTAGAGAAGAATGTTTTCCATGTTTTATTATAACTTACATATAAAAGCACCGTATGATATAAGGTTTAAGCATATGAATTGAAACCTTTCTATAAACAGCATACTTTTTAGAAAAACAATCACAAACTTGCCAGTGAAAAGAAAAGTGCGTCAGCTACAGAATTATTAGTATTGATTGGTCATGAGAGTTCAACCAATTTCATGTTGTCTATTCCTGAGTGCAGACCGAATCCTATCGATCATATTTGCATTGTGGAAACCAAGCTGGGAAGCTCAGCATCATGGTTGAAGATACACCTTGGTGACGACTGCCAAAAAGCACGAAACCTAGGTAAGCCAGGGCTTCCTGCCGATTGCCTCCAACCAACTAACATCTACTAATATGCACCGCGATGCTGAACTTCCTAGCTTGGTTACCACATTGCAAATATGATCGATAGGATTCGGTCTGCACTCAGTACTAGGCAACATGAAATTGGTTGTACTCCTGTGACCAATCAATACATGTAAGCCAGTCCTACAGGAGGTCAATCACGGCCCAAATAACTCACTGGTAAATCCGCTGACTACAACACTGAGTGATGCTGGTTTGAATCTCAGGCGGGACATCAGTCCCGTCAAGGTTGCAGATACGCCTTGCTGACGAGTGACAAAAAAGAAGGTTAGGTGAGGCAGGGCTTCCTGTCGATTGCCTCAAACCAACTACCACAGAACTATCAGCCTCAAAAATATGAGATTCATCAATCTATGTGTGGATAAGCGTAAGATGTAATGAGTAGCTTTGCAGCTGAAACTAGCTCCATAGTACTTACCAGATAAAGAAGATTTATCACTTATCTACCTACTTTGTGAATGATGTCAGATAAACAGAAAAAATCAATGTAGAACCTTTAACACAGGTGCATCGGTTCAAATTGCCACACTTTACGGTATTATACAAGGAACGAGTGGTTCGAAAAAGACCGATGTTATTGTAGACAAAGTTGTATGCGAGAAGATAACGGTTAGTGCAAATACTCAAGCTTTTGAAAACGTCAAAAGTATGGTGACTGCATCTGCACCAGTATGGTCAACTCTTAGCAATGTCACCAAGAGTCCTCAACCATTGATTTCTATTGCTTTGGAGGCCTCAGTTAGGTAGTGCACACCTCCATACATGTTTCAAACCTATAGTCAGAGGCCTCGTCAACTGGTGCCATGTATTGGTCTGGCCACCTTGATGCCTCTTCCAACCCAATTCTACCCCCTCTATTATGGCACTTCGAGGTAGCGCTTATTTCGGCATGCACAAAACATGCCAGTATTACCTCACCAAATGAATGTTTATAATCTCATCAGTCAACTTGCCTTCTTGCCTAGTACTCTCCGCCTGACTCGACATTGTTCATGCAATGGTTTTATCAAACGCAAGAAGTGTCACGAAGATATCTGTGATTGAAGTCCTGTAACTACTTTGTATACTCCACTTTTAACAGCCATGTCTCACAGTCCTATTACAGGACAGAACGGACTGTAGTGGTGCAGTATACTTGTTCTTTGGTAGATAGCTGGATATCGCTCTGGTACCGTAGGTGGGAAATGTCAAACCGGCCTTCTGTATCCCAGCTGAGATTTTATCAGAGACTAGCCGGTTCGGAAAGATGCAACTTCCCAAGTCAGTGAAGTGATCGACACATTCCACTGCTTCATTTCCCATCACTAAACTGGGAGTGGTTGCAGATTAGTCAGTCAGGAGTATAATCTTACATTTGCGAGACGAATGCCAAACGTACTCAGATTTCTGTTCAACGCGTTTTTTCAGTGTCTTCACATAACCTGGTGGGACAATATCGTCTGCATACTCTAAGTGAACCAAATGACGTCCAGAGAGTTCTGAATTACTTTACAAATGCTACGTATACCCTACCACCGCCTACTTTATTGTGGATTTTAGCTTAAAAGAGGGAAAATTATTTTACTGAATGTTAAAACACAGAAAGTCCCTGACTGTTGGTTTAAGTCGCGCATATACCAGTGTAGATCTTTTGATCAGAGGTTTTAGAACACTTGAATGGAATAGTTTGAGATTTCGAGTTTA